AGGAGTACAGTTTTTGAATCAGCAAGAACTTAAGAAATGTTATAATAAGGGTTGCGCCCAATAGACTTCAACCAAATTTGCCTCTAAGAAATAGTGGATTCCAAGATGCTGGCATTGGTATCTTTTTAAAATAGTAAAGTTGGGCTTCAGTGCAGAGGATCTCAGCACAAGACAGATAACTAAGCAAACAAGAGTTTAAAGCTGAAATCAAGACTAAAAAATATTGTCTAAATACAAGAGCTATGTGCAGTTTTACTTGAATCTTGATCTTTTTTGTGTAGCACTACCCCCTTAGGGATTGCTGATGAATGTGGTTCCCCCTACAGTCCTGCACAGCCAGTCTTTCAGCATTTTCCACACACGTTTTTATTGGTTTTGTTGTTTATTGACGGGATTAGATATGGGATAGGGTAAGGGGGGTATAGGATGCCCAAGGGAATGATATTTGAGGACAACTTCCTGAACTATTCACAAGCTTGTCTTCTCTGATGCAGTCTCTGTTGGAGTGCTAGCCAACATCTCCTGGTTGTACCACCCCAGGCCCTATATGAATTCCTCTTCACCCAGCAATCTAGACGCTTTCTTCCTGAGCAGAGGATCTGGCTCCTATTCCTTTAATTGGGGTGAACAGTCACTAGTAGGGGGTTGATCTGGTTTCCCACCAGAGTGCACCTTCCCCTATCTGCCCAGGGGGGTGCAGGTGTACTCACTCAGATCATCTCATGTACTGCAAGTGAGTTGGCTGTTGCTACCAGTCCTATCAGCTGGGCTGCTCCTTCCCTGCCATACAGGTGGTTCTCGCTCAGGGGGCCAGTGAGTCACAAGTTTTCCTCCTCTCCAACTCCAGTCTTGCAGGCAGGCCCCATCCCACTAGGCCTCCTGGCAGCCTTCCTCCTCCAGCCTCACATTTGCCTCCTCCTTCTTCCATCCGACGCCTCTCTCTCCTGCTACTGCGCAGGCTCTTACACTTTTAAAGGAGTCATAGCCCCTTGCCAAGCCTTCTGTTGGAAAATGGCTGAGATCACTCAAGAGTGCAGCCACTCCTCAAATCCACTCACTGCCTCTAAGGCCCTCCACTGAAAGCCTCAGAGCAGGGGGAAATTCCAGATGAGCTGGCCTGCACTATCTCTCAGCCCTGACCACAATTTGACCCCTCTGACTATCACCCCTGTGCTGCTAACCAGCTCCTGACTAACCATTAGGGTCTGGCTCCTCCTATCTGCACTAGGAGGGTGTGTAATTCTTCCCAGATCTGTGCAGTAATCCAGCATAAATCCCGCACGCAAATTGTCTTTCTTCATGAGTTTCCTGTAATAAAGACCGGTGACTGCTGCTCTTACTCTTTGTGCTGGGTACTGGTCTTGTATCTGCCCCTTCCAGTTTTTTCTGCAGGCAGTTTGTAGTGTATGGAGCTCTATGCTGTTCTCTGTCCAGGGTATGTGCAGCACTTGATTATGTCACCACTACTTTTTAAAGGTAATATCTGTGTTTGCAAAGGCAACTGGTAAACAAAAGAAAGGATTTAAGTGTACATTGTGGAGCTTTAATGTGAGGGTTGGAAATATAGGGTGCTTTAGTGTGAGGATAGCCTTAGAATAGGGCATCACTCTTTCTATGCTGAAAACTACCAATGTTGACCTGTTCTAATAGCTAATATGCCTTCATTACTGCCTTCATCTGAGGCTGTCTAAGCACCCTCCCACTTAATCCCATTGCCTGCACATGATTATTTTTTAGCTGCTGATAGGTAATTGTAGATAGTACAGGCACTAACTCTCTGCTTTCTTTGGTTATGTTAGTGCAGGTAACTCCTGATAGAGTGTTTACGGATTTTTGAAGTTGTAATTGTTTTGATTTCTTGTTTTTATGTAGAAGCAAGAAAAAAACATATTCAAATCTTGGAAAGACATTTGCATTATGCTACATTTATTATTTATGTCACCACTCATATTAAAGAACAGGGGTCTTCAAACTTTTCAGAACCAGGACCACACAGTAAATTTTACAAATATTTGTGGGCCAAAAAAAGTTTTATAAAGGCAGTAATAACATTTTAAAGAATGAGTTTTACTGGGAACTTTTTTGTAATCAGTATGATATGATTCAGAATGGCAGAGAAAGAACTTAAGAATAACAAAGCAAAGAAATTCTAAATAAACTTGAATCATTATTAAAGGTGAAAGAGAAATAAATTCAGCCTGCCCTTTTCTCATCAGAACCCCCTTTACATCAGAACTCTCATATACAAAGGAAGCCCATGGGACTTTCGGAGAGCTGTGCCAAAAACTAACCCAATACAGTATTACAAAGTCCAAATTGTTTTCACATTCAATAGTAAAAACAGCATAATAAAACTGCAAAAAACATACCCAAAAGTAAGTAATTTATGTACACTACAAAAAAATCCAGTATAACAGCATATATACATAAAAGGATAGACAGGTAACATTCTCTATCTCAACACATTTTGTGAAGCAACGTTCACTTCTTCAGGTGATAATAATATTCACAAGGTTATCTTCAGGGAAACCATGTCAATACTATATTATTATAAATCAACGGCATGCACCCAAAAGAGAATATATGCGATGATAAATAACTTCCCAATGAGTATAAACTGTAGTAGTTTAGTTTTTGGCGTAGCTCCCCCAAAGTCCCATGGACATCCTTTGTATATGAGGGTTCTCATGCTTTAGGTGTAGTAAAGAACAAAAGAAAAGAGCGCACAAAACTTGTCCATTACCTCAATAAAAAAATGTATGTATTTATTAATAAGTTATACTCACAAGAGTAGCAGTAAAAAAGGCATATGAAATCCAACACCAACACAGGGTTAAACGACACATGTGAGTTCCATTCAGAAGGGTGATAAACTCTTGCTCAAGCTGACGCGTTTTGAAGGGAGATCCCTTCTTCATCAGAGCTTAAAAGTCTGCAAACAGTTTGAAGGAATATTCAGTTTTCAGTGTTCAAAAGAAAACGGACAGCCTCTCAGTATTACAAAGTCCAAATTTTTATTCACATCCAATATTAAAAACAGCATAATAAAAGTGCAAAAAACATACCCAAAAGTAATTAATTTATGTACACTACAAAAAATCCAGTATAACAGCATATATACAGTGGAACCTGAGGGTATGCCTCTGACCCTAGTTTTTGGCTCAGATAAACTCTTGTAGCAAGCTGGATTTGGACTAAGGGCCATAGTTTTGAGACCCCTGTAATAGAGCACCTAACTAAGAACTTATATTCATTCACAGAAATGCCCAAGGAATACTGGGTTCAACTGAATCAAGCTTTTAATATTTCATAAAAAAATATATATGAGATTTGAACCAGTCCATCAGCATGTGAGGAGCTGAATGAAATTTGTCTTCTGCAAATTACATAGAATTAAAATGAAAGTAAACTGAGTAGATTTTTGCATGGTTGCAGTATTTGCTGGATACCATAACAAGGTTTCTAAATGGTTTAATTTGCTGCCTGTAATAACTCTTTTAAAAGAACTAGTCAGTAATGGGCATTTGAAAAATCTGAATCTCAACACTTATACTGAAACTGTAGAGTCAAGAGCAACAGCAGCTCTTCTAAAGTCTCTTCTACCAAAAACTGCTTCTTTAGGTTGATATAATTTTGCAGCCTTTAATCTCAGGGATAGCTATGTATTCTGTTATTTAGTTGTAAATTCTCCATGTCAGAAGAGAAATGTTAGTTCTGTGGCAGGTGACCTGGTGACTTGATCTGCATTACCTGCTGTTAGAATACTCAAACAGCGGCTACTTCTAAATTTGCAGTGAATATCCAGCTTTACTTTCAGCCTGACACTTTTGCACTGACAGGGAGAGAATACAAGCCAATAATCAAAATCAACTAATCCTTGAGGAAAAAGTTTGCACTTTTATAGCTATTTAGAAGTGAAGATATAGAATTGTACAAATGCCTACTGGTACCAAATTTTCCTACTGCCCAATGCCTACTGGTAACAAGCTCTATATTGAGTGGATAACCTCAGTAACAGAGGATCTCCTTGCTCAGGTATGATCTGGCAGGGCATTACACTCTGCCCAGTTATACCATATCCTAAAAAGCAGTGTTGGGTTAAATACCTCTGTACCAAATGATAACTCAAGTGAGAAAGGTGTTTTTGTGCTAATAAATTATTGCAAACACGTTATTGACTTCACAATAGGAAATATAACTTGAGGAATCAGACTATAATTTATGAAACCAGCAGAGCATTTGAACGTGGTGGGGCAGGGTGGCCTTGTGTGACCATAATCTGAAGCATGATTTTTAATGGTAATCAGGACCCTGGAAAGACCTCATCAACATTTGCACTCCTGGCTAATTCAGAAGACCTGTGCAAATTACTGTTTGTATCTAAATTGGCCATATCACAGAAACTCAATCAGAAAAACTGCAGCCCTTTAGATGAAGATACATGTATAGTTTATGCTGACTCTATGATTCTTACTAACAGATACTACTTTGTTCAGTGTTAGTTTATTAGGATTGTTAGACAATACCTAAAAAAACTTAAATAAAACTCAGTCACAAAGTGAAGTACATTGTAGTAATGTACGGAAGACATGTAGAACATAGGTATGCATAAATATGTAGATGTATGAAAGTACACAAACATATCTAGGTAAAATCACTTTAGATTTTTTTAGTAGTAGCATTTTAAGAGCTCTCTCTGTACCTTCTGCCTACCAAAAACTATTTGTAGTGTATCTACTTCTCTAGTGTCGCCAAAAGGTACTCATCAGAAGGGGAGGGTAAAGTATATAATTACTGTTGATCAAAATTAACAAAGGATGTATTGCCTTGATCACTCATCAATCCAACACGTACATATGTTTTGCTACAAAATTAAGCTGATTTACTAGGAAAGGTTTGTTTGCAACAGAAGTATTTACTTTGCTTACAGAATAAATTAAAGATCTTCCAATCACGTACAAATATTCTGCCTTTTTTATATTACCTTTGCACATGATTTAAAGTGTTACTAAACCCACAACAGTAAAATCAGTTTGTATATGCAGCAAAGCATGCTTGTTATACTCACCTTGGAACCTAAGGGGTTAATCCTCTGCCTTGTGTAAAAAGGCTATATAAAAAACAGAGGAAGGCGCCTCTAAGTGCAGCATGGACAATTTATTGGTGAACAATAGACAAATTGCACTTACAAGATAAATAGTTAAAAAGACTCATCGTGTGGTGTAATAACATCCAGCTGTCCAGCAGCAAACTCTGTCTTTAGGATCAGGAAGTAAAGCCCATGATATGCCTGTGCATCAAAATGAGGCTTGGAGAGCAGAGTAAGATGTAGGTGGTGAAGGGAGCGGTAACGCGTTTCGAAGCATGCTCTGTAGGCTCCTTCTTCAGGCCACTCTAAGAAGAGCTGCCTCAGTGTTACTGCTCCCATTCATCCATCCATCCATCCCTGATATCCATCTGGCACCTTTAGCCTACAGCTACAGAGGTTGGGCTTTAACAAGTGTACCCTATATAATATACATTTTGTGTAAAAAGGCTGTTTGATCCTTTCTTTCTATGCCTGACCAATGACCACCTGATACAGACTGAATCTGTAGTCACATGCACATGCTCAGTTTGGTGTGTATTGCTAGAGAGGTTTATTTTTCTTGGGAAAGTGCATGTGATCAGCATAGGGCCAATCAGCACTGTCCAGACAAAGGGTCAAGGGTTTCACATCCTTCTAGAGCAGAAAGAAAACTCCTAAAAGCTTTAACCAGTGCTAAGCTGAAGTCACAAGACTGCTCTAACTGCTGATGAGAAAAGGTATTTAGCAGTTTATATTTACTAAAATAATTGCATTTTCATGTTCTGTGCACTGTGGGAGATCAGATATTAACACTTTAATATGAAACATGAATATGTCTTGTTAGCTAAGCTAAAGGAACATTTACTGTGCAAAGTGAAGATTTTCTTCTCTTTTAGTAAATCATCCTCATTGGGTACTCTAGCTCTTGCTGTAATTTCCACGATGTAAGATGAATTAGAACTCTAGAAGGGTCAGTGAATACCTTAATAGTTGCCCCTGCTGGTGTGCAGACTGGGAACTCATGCTCAAGGATCTCTTGTACTTGAGAGGCAAAGAAAACTGGGTAATGGTATAATTTTTCAGTGTGAATCAAAAACTGAAATTTTGTGGGTGTGCTAATCCTTCAGTAATATTGTAGAAATTCGAGACAGAATGCATAAAACCCAAAAGAAAAACGTTGAGTCAGTTCATAGTAATGCTAACATGATATCCTTCATTGCTTCCTCTCTATAGATTACAGCACATCTAGAAAGAATGTTAACAATGTTAGAAATATGCATCTGGTAGTTAGTTTGCCAGGCTGGCAAAGGTGGCTCCAAGAAGTCTGCTATAGATTCCACAGGGTTGTGGTAGGATTAAGGTTTGGGCTCTGTCCCAGCACCCATTCTTACAATTCCCTGGAAGAAGAAAGAAACTACATCCAAAGGAATTTTGCAAAATAAAGAGAATAATGAACGTTTGACCAAATCTGATACCACTACAGTAACACTAAATTTTGCAGTAGACCTCCTGGAGCCTGGCTGGAGTACTGCTATCAATGCTTGGGTTACATGAAGTTAGGGCTATAAAAGATATAAAGTACCCTAATCCTTAATGGTAACCAAAATGCAGTAGAACATATAACATATTATTATTTCCTACTATAAATATCTAACAGTTATTCAGCACCATAGCAATGATGTATAACACACAAATATTAAACGTAAGTCTGTGTTTATTTTGGACATTGTTTCTAGAAGAATTCACAGAGAAACCACTGAAAGCCTTTTGTTGATAACCATATTACATGGAATAATAATAATAATTTAGTAGATTATGTACAGAATGTTTTAGTCTAGTTTATATTGATGTTGTTTTACAATTCTTGTGTTGTGAAATATGGAAGAAGCTGGAAATGTGGAATAGAAAGTAGTGGACAAAAAAAAGGACAAACTTTCTTTTTAAAGAAATTCTATGAGAATAGAAATATGGGAGCTAGCATTGATTACTTGTTTTAAAAGCTCCAATGCTGTCATCTTGATTCTGGCTGTGCTACCTAGCGGGCCACTGGCCTGGAACAAACAGGAAGTCAATAAAGAGTAAAAATCTACATTATTTTCCTACTTATCCCAGGTCAGTAGTTCAGTAGATAGGAAACTAGCATAAAGATAACAGTATTTGAACTTTTACTTTTTACAAAGTCAGTCAGTTCAGGCATTCCAACATATAGACCCTGTCATCTCAATTAGAAATTGCAGGTAAACACACAGAAAAATCAAGTCTTTTAAATGCCCACTTGAAGTGTTTTTCCTTTCCATCAATCATTTTTTAAATTACCTGCAATGTTCCTAAGAACTTCCAAGTTTGACTACTCCAAGAAGAGTAAATTTCATAATACAGCTCCCTCCCTCCTTACATATGACAGCTCTCTATTCTTCTGTGAGTGTTGGCCTTCTCCTCCACACCTCTCTCCATGACCCTCTAGGAGTAGGAGCAAAGGGAATATAAGAGAGTACCAGTTGAGTCACTGCTCTAAGTCTGCTGGGACTACTGACACAAGGCTTTTACAGGTAAATAACATATATAAATTATATTAAATGCACATGTCTTATGAAGGATTTTGTTGAAACAAATGGTCTGGGTGCCTGTAAGGAGAGACGTGACTACCAACTCTTTTTAAGATCTTAAAAATATAGAATAGCCCAATAGGAAAACCAGTACAAAATGTACCATCTCTAGATGCCCCAAATACGATCTATTAAAATCCTTGTTGGCTTACTGCCTCTAGACGTCCTTCCTCTAGTCCTTCAATAACTGCCTTCTGGAACAAAGCTAGACTATCCATACTCTCTATAACCTTGACTTTGCTGCCACATGACCCTCTTCTCCTCCTATTTGGCTATGAGAACCGATCTACAAACTCTTGTTAAACCCATGATTCTTCAACTCAAAATTGATCCATGTGTGTTTATTAGCTGCCAGACCCTGAGGGGTTTATTTACTAAAGCTGGAGAGTCCAAAATCAGACTCCCTTCTGCATAGAAACCAATCAACTTCTAGGTTTCATTGCCAAAGCTTCATTGAACAAGCTGAGGTTAGAAGCTGATTGGTTTCTATGCAGAAGGGAGTCTGATTTTGGACTCTCCAGCTTTAGTAAATAAACCCCTCAGTGTCACGGTCAGGTGTCAGGCTCAGAGACCAAAAGCTATAGCAGTGGAAAAGCTCTCACCAAGCATCAGGACGGTATACAAGCAGGTCATCCTGGCAGATGACACAGGCTCACCTGAGGTGCGGGGTCTAAGCAGTAGCCGGTATTCACCACAGCTCCTGATGGTGGAGATAGGTTTTGCTGCATGTTAGTACCAAGTTGCAGTCCTCAGGTTTGCCCCACCAGGAGGTGAGCAAGCAGGTAGGGATCAAACAGAAACGTAGTCAGTAAACAAGCCGAAGCTAAGTAACGAGTGGTAGCAAAAGTATGGATGGCAGCAGGGACAAGAGTGAGATATTGGCTGGAGAAGGCTCAATAATCTGACAAACAGTGCAAAGACATGGCTTAAATCAGGAAGTTCATGGGAGTAGCAAAGGGTTTTAAGGTTCAGCAGAAAACAAGGCACCAGGCAAAATCTTCCAATGGATCAGGGAGGGTGCTGTCCAGCATTCCTGGTAGCTCAGTGCGAAGAGTTACTGCCAGACGCAGCAGCTGTCCCAGGTTCAAATCCAGACACTGACACTTAGTCATCAACAGATGGAATTCTACATAGGCTCCTGTTATTACCAAGGGCAGAGCAGCCATTCAGCATGTCCACTCTAATGAAAATCTTGATACTGAATTAAATTCCCATCTGCAGCACTTATGCTTTGAGCAACAAAAATGGAGAGCTTGCATAATCAGCTCCTCTACATCCCAAAGCAATTTCATTAAACCTTCCTAACCCTAAATTTTCTCTTCTTTTTGGGACTTCTGATGCCACCCAATCATATAGCACCAGTTCCTATTTTATTATCAGGTAGATTACAGTGTCATACAATTATGTTACTGTTTGTTCATCTCCCTCTTTCCCTTTTAGTTTTTCTAGTTTGAAAATACAGACTACAAAGCTTACCATGTCTCCAATTCTACCACTTTTAGAAATTTAATTTGAAAAAGCCAAGCTGCGAACACCTAGTGTTAATTACTAATTATTCATGCAAGGTTTGATATGCAGTATGAGGTGTGACAATTTAATTTCCGGAATGCCTGTGGCATAGCACTGTGGTGGTGAGTCACACAGCCATTGGCACTCTAACATGTTCTGACATGTTCTAACTTGCACTCACCTGGGTTGAAGGCCAGTTGGCTCAGTCTTTGGCAAAAGGTGTGAATGCAACTTTAGTTCTGTCACAACAGGCTTATGGTGAACATCCCATTAAGAAATCAAGTGTTTAAAAGGTGGTTTATGGACGGGAGATGCCCAAGATGATGCAAGAAATGAGCAGCCAAAAATGCAAATGTAGACAGTGGAGTGCGAACCCTCAGATCAAAGATTAAGTGTGCGAATGATGCAGAAGAATTGAACTTAAACAGAGAAATAGTGCGGCAGATTCTATTGGAGGATTTGGGAATGAGAAATATTTCTGCATAGATGCTGCCTTGAATCTTTATGGAAGATCAGAAAGGATGTTGTTTTCAAATTCCATCCCATCTTTTGAAGAATGCAGAGGTGTTTGATACAATTATTGCCGGTCCATTCCGGGAATTAACTTGTCACACCTCGTATATATTGAGATGGTGTTTCAACTAATGTATCCACTTTTCTTGTCACAAGGCTGTCAAAATGTGAGCTTATATACAGCACATTGACATTCTTTATATGTTGATGTTCATACAAAAATTAAAATAATATATGATTAAAAAAAACTAAAACAAAAAATATATATAAAGAACATAGCGAGCATGGAAAATGAAAAATTTACATAAAAAATTGCCTTCAGCTACATTTTACAGAAACACTCTCTAAAACCCAGTATAGTTTCCCTCTAAAACAGCCTAATCTGTCCAATAATCAGAACTTGTAGGGGCACCATAATAATACATTGACATAGACACTTTATCTTGAATCTGATCAACACTTAAACGAAAATCAAATGTCTTTATATTTAACAGATAAATGCAGAAAGCCTTCGGTGCGCTCCAGTGTGTCACAGTGTTAATCTATTTCCAAACTTTGCTTGCTTTTAATCCTGAACACAAAGTATAGTTAGCACGTACCCTGTGCACCCAGAATCCACTTATCTCTGACAGAGCTGCAGACTGTGCAATGTTCTTGCTATGAAACTGAAATCCTGCTTTTTACCTTTTGAATTAATGAGGCTTGCTGGCATCAACCAGCAATTGATGAAGCTGTCTGAGCTCTGTAGTGATTTTGCCACTAACTACACCACGGGTGTTTAAGAGTATTTACTAGCAAACTGAATGTAACTCATATCAACTTCATTGTCTAGCTCAAGAGGAGAAAAGAACTGTAAGGTGCGCTAAGCTTTGCATAATGGAAGCAAAGCAATAGCTCTAAATGTGCATATGTAAGCTTGATATTATATGGATGCTTTAACCTCCCTAGCGGTCTGATTATGTCCATATTTCTGTGCTCAAAGCGGTACATTTTTTTGCATGGAAATATGTATTT